CCAGCATTGTCCACGATGACGACAAAATAAAACATAAAATAATAAAAAATAAATAGAAATAATAATTTTTTTTAAAATGCCGGCCGCTGTCCCGGCCGCTCCCCGCCGACTCCCGCCACATAATGACATTTTGACAGATGTTGGCAAAACATAAAAAAATTGGACGGAGCTAGCGGTGACAGCTAGCTCCACCCAATTGTGTAGTTTGTCGGCATCTGATAGGCGAGACATGATTGGGCAGAGTCATCATGACCTTGCCCAATCATGGCTCCAAATGAGTGCTGAGCACTGATTGGGCAAAGTTTTGCACCTGACCTATAACTAATTAGAGGGCTCTTTGTAGTATGGCACGTTGCGCAGTCAAACGCTCGAACAGCCAATGTTCGATATGAACTCGTGTTCAAATCGAACCGGCGCACCATTCCTACTCAAGATCTGTCAGCATGAGCCATGCCAGCTGCGGGGGAGCTGGAAGGTAGTAGGATCCACAGAAGTAGGATAATTAAAAAATAAAAGCATTTAAATTAAAGGTCATTCACAATCCTAGAATTGCCCCTGACTAAAAGTACTGAAGCTTTACACAACCAGACAACTAATATTTCCAGCAATGATAACTAGCATATTTCTGCCAGTATAGGTTTCCTTTAAAATAGCACAGTGTTTTTTTCACAATAATAAATAGAAATGTGCCCATTTTCACATGTAGAATATATAATTCTGTTGATAAAGATGCGGTTTATTCTAATTGAATTTGCCTAAATAAAGCATACCAAACACCTGATTCCTTAACCTCCAGTACTTTTATTTTTTGTATGATTGCAACATAAATAGAGTATCTCCTTTGACACGGTTTTATCCCCTCAAGATATCGATGTACAAAACCCTTTAAACACATAAAAGAGGAATAATCAGGGTATAAATGTGGAGAGAAGAAATATGGACGCACAGGACTTCAGACTATAAAATTTATTCTGACAATGCTAAGGAAGAGCATATGGATCTGATTTACAAGGTGTGTGCACTTGTCATATTTTAAAAAATATGTAGCCCTTACCAAATAAAGTGTGATTTGTCACCGAAGAGAAAGTACTGAACTTTCCAGGAATGTTTAGATATGGAAACTGATATTTATAGAGGCATAATTGCAACAGCTTGTAAACCTTAGATTGTAAGCTCCTTGAGGGCAGGGACTGATGTGAATGTGCAACTATGTAAAGTGCTGCGTAAATTGTCGGCGCTATATAAATACCTGTAATAAATAAATACTATGCTTTACTCAAATGGAGCAAATATTGCAAAGTAACTCACAAGTGACCATTCAGAAAAACTGCAGTGTTTGATTCTGGACCAAGATTTATGTAGTAAATTGCTCCATGCAGTATTCAAAAGTGTGCACCTTTTTTGAAACAAATACAGTATACTTATTACATTTTGTGCATACAAAATGGTACCGATGGCTAAAAGATTACAATATTACTGTGAATACATAATGATAAATGCCAAATTCATACTGCACCAACCTGACTAATTTAACCCAAAATTAAAAAGACCAATGTCATTATCCTCATCATTGTCTGCCAATCTCCATTGTTAGAGAAAAATATGACAGAGTACATTTAAACTTACAGATTTAAATATTCCTGGTATTTTCAGAAGGATAAGCTCCTGGAACCACCATTATATTTGGCTTTTTAAAATAGTAGCCCCATTATGCCTTACATGATGCTTTCTCATTATTACTTTAATGACACCAATGTAAGGAACAGTCTATCCAATTGACTCTGATGTAAGAGGACCTTCTTTCCATTGACACAAATGTAATGGGCAATCTCCCCTCCAAATTAGTTGTATGAGACAATCTTCCTTTTTACTGACACATATATAAAGAGGTTATTCCTTCTCCCACCAATGTATTCATAATTCTTCCTCCCACTGACCTCCAAAACAAAGGGGTATTTACCTCCCACGAACCACCAATGTAACCAGCAGTACATTACATACTCTTGGCTAGTGTACTCGGTACTCTGTGCTGGACGTTACATTGTCCTGACCACTGCAATCTGTACAACGTGCGTTATACTTCCCCCAGTTCCAACCCCCCCTGCACACATATTAATACACTCCCTACATAATAATACACCCCCCCATTCCCATCCCCCGCACACATAATAATACATCCCCATTCCAATCCCCCGCACACATAATAATACATCCCCATTCCAATCCCCCGCACACATAATAATACATCCCCATTCCAATCCCCCGCACACATAATAATACATCCCCATTCCAATCCCCCGCACACATAATAATACATCCCCATTCCAATCCCCCGCACACATAATAATACATCCCCATTCCAATCCCCCGCACACATAATAATACATCCCCATTCCAATCCCCCGCACACATAATAATACATCCCCATTCCAATCCCCCGCACACATAATAATACACTCTCCCCTTTCAAAGCCCCCCGCACACATATTAATACACTTCTGCAAGCCCCCTCACCTGCTTACATCTTTGCAGGGAGGAGGCGAGGAAGCACATAATTCCCTGGTGATCCAGTGGTTGATTAGTAAGGTCTGGTGTAGACCTGACTAATCCATCCTTTCGGCCAGAGCTCCGGCTGCACAGAGCTAGTGAGTGCTGGAGCTGACAGAAGCAGCTCCTGCAAGTCAGGTGCGTGGTGCGTGACCATGTGCCTGACTTCTCATCTGGCTGCAGGCCACATGGTACTAGTTCGGTATTTTGAGACCCCTGCCTTAGCTACTGGAATCTTTAAACCAATCACCAAAGAATCTTAACATCCTTTTCTCCATCTCTGGCTAGATCCTCTATTTACATTGCCCGGTATCTCTATCACTTCTTAAAAAAAATAGAAGAGAGCTTTAAGGAGCAAAAACAAGGTTGTGAAGTGTCAAGAGAAATTGTCTTTGTGAAATTTCAGAGATTCAAAAGGAAATGGATACAACTGCAATACTGTTACCAACTGTGCAGTACTGAATCAGTCACTGGTGCCCTGTTAAGAATTTCCACAGAAGTTAGATGTAATGTTGTGTTCAAGTTCATAATGGTTTAAAATGTGCCTAGGATTTATTTTCTACAACAGAAGTAGAAAATGAGACAACTGGTATTTTTGTTTACTATGGGGGTGAATTTCTCATAATAACTTAAGGTAGGGTTGGTTTTGCTTTTCATTCTAACTACAGATTTAATTTACCAGTAATAATACGTGTAGTTAAAATGTAGCTTAACAGTCCATTGTAGAAATCATTGGTCAAAATAATCATAGGCTTACCCTTGTGACCCGCTGAATTTGTCTTCCAGTCTGGAGCATTTAAGTGCCTTGGACGGGAGGTCCTCACAATGATATGCTGTACATCTCTCCAAGTTAAGAACGGGCTATAAAAGAAAACCATTTCTATTTTATTTCCTTTCCATTTTATTTTCTGTGTTTGAATAAATAATGATATATATATATATATATATCTA